GGGGCCAGCTGGACGTGTTGGAATGGGCTCTCAACAACGGGTGCGTGTGTAATGAGTTGTGTGACCGTACGAGAGATGGACGCGTGCCGGTTTGCTTTCGTCCCTGTTGGTTGTGGTTGTCGTTGTTTGGAAATGTTCCATGTCATCTCTTACGCTTGAATAAACGACCGCACAGCGGCATGAGCTGCTGCCCTGCATCTTTCCCGATCAGATGAATAGACATCGCAGCGGTTTTGGAGAAGCAAGACGCGGAGGGCAAGCTGCGTCACGTCATCAAATACCATCATTTGATTACCTACACCGGTATAAACTGCGACCAAGGATATGGCGCCGACAATCAAATGTCAGGGCCCACTTGTCCACACCAGTGGTGGTTGAGGCCCCTCAGTGGTGCCGTCTTGTGCCTAGCCGGTATAGACCAGCATTGCTCCTGGCCACCTGAACATTTTTTTCCGTGACAAGAGTATGGACGAGCTTGCTGTTGTTGCCAAGCGTTCCACGGCCGTTGGTGAATGCACCGGCAGTTTTCAACGTGGGACTGCTGGAATTCCTTTGACTGCAAAGAGTAAAAAACATCCGCCGAAACAATGCCGGTCACTGCTGTAGCTGTAACCGATGAACCGACCAACTACCCAAGCCGACGTGACCAACCATATCAACTAGCGGAAGCAGTTGATATGGGTACCGTAGAGAATGGCTTTCGCTCCAGGAACAAACCAAATCAATTCAACTCACGGTAGCAAAAACTATTCAACCCAACGTCCAACACGTGAGTCAAGTCAAGACCAAATTACGTCGTCCAAGCCAACTCACGAATCGAAGTTAACGTGGCGGACCCATTCAACCCTACAAAGAGCAAGCAATCTGTCCGTCCGAATGTCGCGAAGAACGAACTTTCATCCAACCGATCGGACACCCCTTCTCAATCCGGGGGGGCAGGTGCGAATGGGACGAGGAGGCGTGCAGCAGCGCGGCGGCGGGGGGGCACCTCTTCGTGCTCCAGTGGCTCAGATACCACGGGTGCCCGTGGGACTCCAGGACTTGGAAGAGCGCCGCTGCGGAAGGTCACGAGGACGTGGCGCACTGGGCGAAGGTCAACGGCTGCCCGCGGTAGCCGCCTACTGCTGTGGCACTGCTGCTGCTGCTACTGCTGCTGCTGCTGCTGCAAGTATGACGAGGTGGTCATGTGTGTGTGGGCCTCACACCCAAGAGAGAGATGGATAGGACTTGTGGGGGGTATGCTGCCGTCGTGCCGCTACAACTGTGATGAGGTGGATGAGGTGGTCATGCTTGCGTGGGCCTCACGCACCCGACGGAGAGATAGATAGACCGTGTGGGTGGTGACTGTGGCATTCATTGGCCGCGCGCGTTGTTGTTTGTTAAGGGAACGCAGGCCACCTGATGCATGATAGATGGCATCGAATGGCCACGCGCGTTGCTCGTTGAACCACCGCCTGGCACGACGCGGCAGCGATAAGCGGTGTCGACAACGAGGAATTTTTAGCTTGCTTTGATCGCGGCCGGGGATAGGAGCGGCAGCCGTGGGGTGCCCTCCCAGTCGGTCGTCCTTCCTTCCTGGTGTCCTCCTCGGGGGGGGGGGCT